TTACATTTGAAATATTGCGACTCAAGATTTCTAGTTTTTGTTTAAAGTATCGTCACTCTTTTCAAGTAGTTTTTTTATCTTTTGACTTTTCTTTTTAGTAAGATAGATTGCAGAATTTTGCAGTTACCTAATAGCAATGAGGCTGCCACAACATTGTTTCAGAAAAAAATAATTTATAGCAATTAGATATCATTTGATGAAGTTAACTTTTGACTCGAAGAAAGCTCCTATGTTGTGTTATGTATGTTATTGGTGTTAAAAAAAGGGATTGAGAACCAGAACATGGTTAGAAGGCTTGCATCTTTCTTTCCTCAATGCCATTTGTTTTATCTATCTGTGGTGTTAGGAACTGACGTCAATTAAATTCAGCCAGCTTCAGTTAAAAATCAACCGTAACACGACCATAGATACAGACCACTGTAAGACCCCATAGCCTGAGAATAGAACTGCATGCTATGCTTTGAAGTAATGCGATTTTTTCCCCCACAATAATTAAATTTTAAACAATTCTGCATTTTTTTTTAAATTTAAAAAAGTCTTAATTAATTTTTTTTTTTATTTCTGTCAGAAAATATGGCTGAAGGAGCAGAAAATGAAGGGTTGTTAAACAGGATAATATCAAAGTTAAGTATGTTGTAAACCTGCTAATTTTTTTTTAAATATCTGAATGAATTGTTTTGTCTTGTACCTGTTGAGACCTTTAGTGGCATTCGAAATTTACATGTTACATAGTGATGTAAGCAAGATGTTTCTCAGAAAGGTATAATTTACAAGGTATGACACACACACCACACACACACAAAACAAAAAAAAAAAAAAAAAAAAAAAAAAAAAAAAAAAAAAAAAAAAAGAGAGAGAGAAAGAGACTTGTCCAATAAATGATTGTACTTACAGAATCAGCTCTCCGTGACATTATCACCTTCAAAGTAGTTCCCTTCAACATGCACACACATCCGCATTCGGTGTTGCAATTGCTGGTAACAGTTCTGGATGAAGTTTTTGGAATGCCCTTTGGGAGATTTTCTATTTTTGCCTGAACCTCTTCAGCTGAGGTGAAATGGGTTCCCTTTAAGTAAGATTTAACTTTAGGAAATAAAAAAAAGTCTCTTAGAGCTAAATCAGGTGAATAAAGAGGAGGCCCCATCACAGTAATGTGTTTGCTGGTCAGAAACTGTTTGACAAGTAGTCCCGTGTGAGCGGGTGCATTGTCCTGGTGCAACAGCCATGTATCACTCCACAACTATAGCCTTTTTTTTTTCCTCCTAATTTTTTCAAGAAGTCTTTTTCGTACTTCAATGTAGTAGTATTGATTAACCTTTAGCCTGTCGAGTGATTTTCTACAAATACCTTTAAAAATGTCACTAATTTTGGACCTAGCTTTCTTTAAAATGTCGGGAAAATAACCCTAAACCTCTGAAAAATGCCAGCTATTGCTATTGTTAGTTCTTTTCCCTCCCAGAATACTTGATCAAGGGTTTTGACTGTAAGTGAGATGGATTATTACCATAAATATTAGCACCCGTAGATGTGAGTTGTCAAGTAAGTTGCAAATGACTAGTTTAGCGGTGATGACCGTCTGAGTGCTGCAGTTTACACGTGCGAATACTATCTTAAAAGTTTTCTTTCCTAAAAGACTCAGTGCTACTTTGGTAGACGGTTGCATGGATTTTGGCGATTTTTCTTTTGGCAAGTAATGCGACTTATGGTAAACCCATTGCTAGATAAGTTATTTATGGTAACCGATACTTTGTTGTCATTTTATTTTTAAAATAATGCGTGTTATTATGCATAAATTCCGTGTTTTAAGTACTATTTATGGCTTCTAAATATTAAAAATCGATTTAATTTTGCATTTTTATTTGAAATAAAAATTTTATTGTATATGATATTTTATAAAATTTTATGCTGGTGTGATGTAATCAAGACGTGACGTCACCTTACTTTAAAAAGTAATTGGTTTTAATATCTATAAATTTAATCTAATGTTTTAAACATTATTTATGGCTGTTAAACATTAAAATACAATTTAATTTTGCATTTCTTTTTTAAAATGATTTTATTATGTGTGATTATTTAAATAATTTTAATTCTAGACGTGATGTAATCAGCTCTCTGATTGGTTATGATAGAATATTTGTGCATTAATGAGCTGTAATCAGCTCCCTGATAGGTTGCTGAAAATTTGTGCATTACTGTGCCATTTTAAAATTTAATTCATATCTTCAAATTCCTTCAAAATGTCTCTTTCAAAGATGAATGTTGTTTTTGATAAGTACGAAGAATTATTGGTATCGGAATCAAAAAATTGTCCTTTGAACCTTATTTTGGCTAGCCTGACTTTCCTAATCAGAGATTTATTTATAAAATTCTTACAAGGGTCAGAGGAAATTTATTTTACATTTTTGGAGGAAACCTCGCTAATTGCTTCTTCAATGAAGTGCGAAAATGTAGATCACAGATGAAGATCATTAGAAGGATTCTGAGAACGGGCGTATATGGTATTGTGGGCATGTTGGAAGAAACAACCATTATAACGGTAAGAAAAGTACAGTCAAAAGTCGTTAATCCAAACACCCATTATCCTGAATGATCTATAATCTGGACCTCAAAATTAAAGACTTTTGACTGTATTAGACATTCCTTCTTTTTTTACTGACAATAAACTAATTGCTGTCATTTTAGCTCTAGCATACGAAGCATTCTTATTTACTTATTTTAAAGTATATAATTTAAGTAATATTTTAATCCAGTTAAACGTTGGTGCAATGTTTTTATAGTGGTATTTTTATAAACTTTCTTTAGTATTTTATACTCGTAGTAAATGTATTTATTTACATTTGCTTGCCATCTTAAAAAACGTTTTCAACAAAAAAATTAATCCATTATTTTTAACGATATTTATTTTTTAAAAGTTTCGAATACTTTACTATGCGGAAAATAACATAAAAACGGCATTTTTCAAGATGGCTGACAATTGTAAAAATCGCGCCAACAATTGCGCCGAAGTAAATCGCCAAAAATCCATGCAACCGTCTACCCAAAGTAGCACCAAAGACTCTTATTTTGAAACAACTTGGTTTTAAAATTTACCCACTCTTTTTTTTTTTTAATTATTATTCATGTTTAATCTAAATTACCTAAATCTCTGGGTCATTGATTATCATATGAATTTCAATGCAGATTGGTTAAATTGCTATTAATAAAATCCATATTAAAAATATCTGGTTGCAATATTCATTCTTTCTGTTGTGAGATTCCTGAAACGTTTGAAAAGCAATTTTATAGTTCGATTGCATTTGATATTATTTCTGATTTTCTATGTTTTTGTCATAAATTAAAAATCTTTTAAATCTTTTTCAACATTTTTCTATATTCTTCATTTACATGCAGATAAAATTTTTAAATAATTAATTTTATTTATAGATATTTATTAGATTTTATAGATATTTTTATAGATAGATATTTTATAGATATTTAGCATAATATTTGTATAATTATTCTGAAAAACATCTGTTTTATTATATCTGCCAAATTTAATCAATTTAACTTGATGTGACTTTTTAAGTTGCTCTTTAAATAAATTCTAGTTAAATATTAAGGAGATTTCAAAATTTTAACTTTTCAGGCATATTTAATGCTGAAATTTACTTAGTTTTTAAAACGGATGTTATTTTCTGGAAAGATTTTGTTTTTTGAATGCACAGCATATACTTAAAAATGTAATAAAGTTAAATATTCAGCGAGATAAAATTTGGTAACTGAATATCTTAATTTGAATCGTTGGGAATGTCTGGCGGCAAAATTCTTATTATATACATCCTTATTTTAAATTCATGGCATATCTCGTGTTTCGACTCTTATCTCAAAACACATAAAATCCACAAATAAACTTAATTTTTTTATTTAAATTTAACAACTTTATTTCCCTATAGAAATTTCTCTGGATCTTTTCAGTTATAGGGTAACACCTGCAAAAAAATTTTCTCTATACAAATATATGCGCTAGTAAGAAAATGCACTTTCAACAGCAGCTCGTGTCTATGATGGTAAAATTTTTCTAAACATAAGAAATTTGTTGCTTAAATTCATTTTTTTGTTAAACAAAAAACCAACTAGAAGGACACGTTATTAAAAATGTTATATTGGCATTCTGAAAACAAGAACATTGCTATAAAAGCAAAGAAAAAAAAAGGAACAGGATATTTCATTTAACAGGAGTCAACTTTGACACATAAACTCTTTAAACACAAAATATTTTAAGCATGTTGTGTAGTAATCGTTTGGTTTATTTGATTGTGGAAAAGCACTCGAAGGTTATTTTACATAAGGGGAAAGATGCTTTCGTGAAGGACTTTCTAAGGAAAACCAGCTTGTGTACATGTGACATGTAAGAAAAACACGAAAGCATCCCTGCAGCTGGCCCTTTTACCGGGATTCGAACCCTGGACAGAACTACCAGTGTTCCGTTGTGGGCTAGCTTGGGTAACGGAAAGATCAAAATCTCATAATTGACGCAAAATGATGGTCTGTATCATACAAAATTATTGCCATTTCAATAGCATAAAGTGGCTTTCACGATATTGTATTTTATTTTTAGCTCATGATAAAATACACAAGGACTCACCTCTCAGCGTTACGGCCGGAAAATTCTGCCAAGAAAACTGCCTTCTATATTCATTATACATGAAAATTTTTGCTAGCTTTTAATGTAACTAATTTCGGTTTTGGATGTATAGTGGAAGAAAAGGGATCAAGGTACAAAAGGAAAGAGTGATTTTTTAATTAAAATCAAGAAAATACCACTTATTCATGACATTTTGAGGAACTTTGAAATTTTAGGGCTGACCCGTAACGCTCGGAGGGATTTGATTGTAGTTTGACACGGATTTAAACCTCTGTGACTGGCTCACCACATGGGCCTTTCGTGAATTTACCTATATGTAACACGAATACAAGATAGTTTTCCTTTGAAAGTCTTTCACGAAACATACTTTCTTTAGACAGATCGCCCTTTGCGTGTTTTGTCATAATCTAACAAACCAAGCGAGGACTAGTACTTAGAGGAGATCTTCGTGAAGGACTTTTTAAATGAGATTGGCTTATAAGGCAGCAAAAATCCATGAAAACTGCCAGGATTCGCCAGAATTTAAACTCAATTCAAACTGCCAATTTCTACTACGCTGCGGGCTTTTGTTGAATCTTTATCAAAAATCTTTGCAAAGTAATCACGAACACACAGTTATTGGTTTTTAATTTAATTTGGTTTTATGTGATTACGGCGAAGCCTCGAGGGCTGTCTGCCTAAGAGGAGGGATGCCTCCATGGAGGACTTTCTAATGGACACTGGCTCATATATATGTTACGCTTGGAAAAAACCACGAAAACGCCCATGCAGCCAACCTGCGGGATTCGAACCTCGGACCGAACTACCAGTGTTCAGTGACTTTACTGCTCGGCCGCTGGTGGACCAAAATTATTGAGTACCAACGGATTAAGTAAGTTAGGAACTTAATAGCTTTCATTTGTAGTGCTGCTATCAGCATTGACATTTAGAGAGGTTTTTTTTTCTATTAAAAATTTTTTAATGTAATTAATTTAATTCATATCTAATTGTTCCTCTGACTGATTTTTTGTGCGCAGTATATGTAACCCTTTCATACACTGTTTTACTTAACTTGCACTCCATTAATTTTATGCGATTTTATACCGGTAGATTTCTTTCCAAAAACGCATACTTTTCCCCCATCTATTTTAAAACTATTTTGTATTTTAAATCTTAATAATAAAATTTTAAAAAACAAATATTTCTAGTTCTTTCAGCATATGAATTTATTCGATTTAATTGAAGTTTTCGAGTAGAATATCTTCCTTTCGACATCCAAGAAATTTTTATATGTCAGTTCATGTTTATAAGGAACAGACAGCTACATATACGAGTACAAAAATCAGGCATGCTGAAAGCACAGTTTTAACATTTCAAAATGCAAAAAGAAGGATATACCATTAGAAACAACCGCACTTAAAATACGAAAGCAAACAAATAGGTGTTTGCAGCATTTTATATTTTATCCTCTTGATGAATCAGAAATTGTAGTCAACTTTTAATACATTGTATAATATATGGTTTATTAAAAAGTACTTCTTAAGTTACAATTGTTATTTCTTCCTGTTTCTTCTAAATTTCGGTAATGTACTATAACAACGAGTGGTTCTGTTTGACTTTCATTTGTATAAATAACCACAAGACGAACTGTTGTAAAACAATTTATCGTCATTCCCAAGCTTGCAGTTATCAGAAAGATAATACACACCTGCTGTCTGACAGTAATTCTTCACTCTCAGGACTCTACCGTAAAGTGTTCTTTTCAAACAGACTTCACACCCTATTAAGAGCTCTGTGTCAACTGACAGCCGCCTGCAGAAAGGTAGTTGAAAGAAGACTAGATCGCATCGTCTAAACATGTCTTAAGAAATTTTGGCCAAATTTGGGCTTTGTGTGTACACGTCTTAAACAATTTTCATGCGATTTGAAATTCTGTAAGCACGTCTTAAGCATTTTTAAAGGAAACTCTGAAAACGTTTAAACACATCTTAAGCAGTTAACTTTTTGACGTGCGCTATATTATTTAAAAAATTTTTTTAAACTAAAAACACTAGAAATCGAATATTATGATCCTAGAGACAAATAATATACAAATTAAAAAAAATCTACTCCCGCCCATTAATCTGTGGGTGGTGGTTTTGCTGTGAAACCAGCGCGCGTCTAGGACTTTGAAAGTAGTAGGAAAAAAGTTAGTAGGAAAAAACAACTTACCTTTTTCTGTACAAACATTTCCAATGAATGACGAAATTTGCGAATTAAAAAAAAAAAAAAAAAAAAAAAAAAAAAAAAGCATTTAAAAATTGCTTCAAATGTAAATTTTTTACTTTATTTTACAAAGTATATCATCAGAAAAAAAATTATAATTTATGTAATTTTTCTGCAGCAGTGAAAACATAAGAATGTACAGAATAAGGAAATTGGGATAAATAGATAGATAAAAGCCATAAATATATCCATGGGTTTTGCATCTTCCATAGAGGTAATTTCGTCAGTTGGGCCATAATCCTCAGAAAATTCGGGAATGGATTTCACTACATTCTGCATTTTATTCCATGTTACTTCTGCAATTCTGGAAGGACCTGGTAAATTTATATCATCATTTTCTGACTGATCATCGCTTTCATCTTCTATATTTCCATAAGCAGGAGGGAAGAGGGGTAAAGGAGTATTTCCTTCTCGTTCACTTTCATCCTCAGAGACCACTGATTCTGGATCTGAAGGTAATTCTTCAAGTAATGCTAATGCATCAGCTATTTCTAACCCTTTGCGAGGCATTTTGAATCTCAACAGTAGAAAATATAAAATATTGGCAAAATATTTTAAATTTAATTAAATTTTTGCACGATTTCTATTTTTAATTATTCAAAAATACATTTGCAATTTTTTGGAATCGCACAAAATAATTTAGAAAATCGCAGTACTAGCATAGACAGCAAGCATGTTGAAAGCAGAGAAAAATCTCTGGAACGAAAAATATTTTATGGGGGCAGGTGCATGTATTGTTTGGTAATACAATAACTCTGTGATTTCAAAACCCCCTTATCTATATCCGGGTGAAAATAAACACTTCTATTTCAAAGCAGCAAACATTACTATAAAGAGCAGTGGTTTCAGGGCGCGACCACCGAGCCTCTAGGGCAAGGATGTCAAACTCGCGGCCCGCAACAAATATTTTTGCGGCCCGACCAATATATCGGCAAATAATAATATATAATAATAAAATAACATATCGACGAAGAAAAAAATGAAATGTTTACTGCTAAGTAGTTAATGCTAATTTATTCAGTGTTGTTAGATTATTCACAGCGAGCTGACACACACACACTACTTAAATTACAAATGCGTGTGAGTAGCTTGTGTTCAGCTACCTTCGGCTTTTGGAGGACACGTGCACTCAGAACTTGTACGCATCCCCCGATAGCCGAATGTGGCCAAACTCATGGTCTCAGTTTTCCAATCATAGTTTTGTACGAATATTGGTGCATGCACTTTGCTTTATTATTAATTATTACTTCATTCATATTGTTACGGATTTCATAGTTATTTATTTATTTAGTTTTTTTATTTAGAATTGTAATTAGATTTGCTTCATGTTGCCTTAACAACGCAGACGATTTTTGAAAAGACAGCTGCGTTGGAAGGTTAAAAATAGAACAGCGCGTGCATTTAATACCTAATAAATAAATATCTCGTAATTGCTGTTGCCATCCACAAAAATCGAGATATTTATAGATGTTTCCAGTATATTCGAGAAATTAATTATAAAGCTTATAAAAGCCGAGAACAAACAACTCATCTCAGTAGTAGCTGTAGTTCTAGCAAACTGTTTGTTTACTTAATGCTGTGATTGATTTGTAGCGATTTTGCTGTGAGATAGAATTAGTTTCTCTGTTTTGAATTGGTTTTTGCTAAATGTTTGACATTTTGTGATATTGTTAGAATATTTTTGAAGAAATATTTCAGCATTTTGATTTATCTCTTGTGGAAAGAATAAATTTTTGTTAACTTTTTAACGTTAACCGTGTTTATTCCAGCCCTTTGTATTCAGTATGTCTATATCAAAACCAAGTGGTAGTAAAATTAAATGAAAAATCGCTGACGAACATAGAATATTCCAAGTAAAATGGGAATTAGAATATTTTTGCTGTGAAATAAAAGATAAAATAATCTGCTTGATATGTAATAATACTATTAATGTATCAAAGTTATATAATATTAAATGTCATTACCAACAACACAAATCGAAATATAACAATTACGAAGGATTAATGAGAGAAGAAAAGTTGAAAGAGCTCAAGTTAGGAGTGAAAAAGCAACAGTCCATGTTTAGTAAAGTATTGCAAGAAAGTGAAGCGGCGGTACATGCAAGCTACGTCTTGTTCCGAGTTGATACCTAAACATTCGAAGCCTTTTACTGACGGTGATTTCATCAAGGAATGCCTAATGAAAGCTGGAAAAATTGTTTGTCCTGGAAATGTGAAGGCTTTTCAATCAATTTCGTTGTCTCAAAATACAGTTGCGGAAAGAGTTACTGATTTAGCCGCGAATTTAAGTGATCAGATCAAAGCAAAATCATCTGGTTTCAAAAGTTTCTCCATTGCCTGTGACGAGAGCACGGACATTAGTGGCAAAGCTCAATTAGCAGTGTTTCTTCGTTCTTGTGACAAGAATTTTAGCATTTTTGAGGAATTACTGGAACTAATACCGATGCCTGGTACTACCACAGGAGAAGATATATTTACTTGTGTTTTTGGACTTCTGCAGAAATACAATCTACCTTTGGCAAAATTAAATTCTGTAGCTACAGATGGCGCTCCATCAATGACCGGGAAAAACAAGGGCTTCGTAGCATTACTAAGAAAAAAACTTAGTGAAATTCACTGTTCAAACGTTCATCATATGCATTGTATTATACATCAAGAAGTTCTATGCACGAAAATAATAAATATGGAGAATGTTTTGTCATATATAAAAGAAGTTATAAATTTTATAAGATCTCGAGGTTTAAATCAGCGTCAATTCACTGCTTTCTTAACGAGTTAGATAGTGAATATTCGGGTTTGTCCTACTATACCGAGGTACGTTGGTTATCTTGCTCCAAGATTCTCACAAAATTCTGGGATTTGAAAGAAGAAATATGTCAGTTTTTAAAAACGAAAAATCAAGACGTAAGTTTGTTTTACGATCCAATATGGATACAAGATTTATCTTTCTTGGTTGATATAACCAGACACTTAACCGATTTAAATTTATCGTTACAAGGAAAAGATCATATCATTACGAACATGTTTGACATAATTAAAGCATTCAAATGTCAACTAGTTCTTTGGAAAAAACAACTTAAAAATGAAGATTTGACGCACTTCCCAATGTGCAGCATGCACAAATCAAGTTTAGATGATACTTGTTTGTATCAAAAATACGCAGAAAAAATTGCAAATTTAACAACTGAATTTGAAACGAGGTTTAATGATTTTAGTTCCCTCGAAGACAAATTTTTTTTGTTTTCTTTGATTTTCTCAATAAGTATTGATTCAGTACCTAGCCATATGCAAATGGAGGTGATTGAGATTCAATGCAACTCAAATTTGAAAGCAAAATTCATTGAAGTGGGCGTGCCTGAATTTTACAAATATTTACCAGCCAGGTTTGAAAATACTCAAAAATTCGCATATGAAATTATTTCCATGTTTGGTAGCACTTATCGGTGCGAGCAGTTATTTTCAGTCATGAAAGGTAATAAGTCTCCTGTTAGAAACCGTATTAATGATGCTCACCTTGGGTCAGCGTTGAAAGTTATCACTGCAAACAAAATTTCTCCCAAAATAGGAAAGATAATAGCAGAGAAGAGATGTCAAGTATCAGGACGTAAACATTAAATTTTTCTTGTTC